GAGCGAAAACTACACACTAGCGGTGGGGTTTGTGAGCAGATCATCCCGCCTTCTTGGACCCTGACACAGAGTCCCTACAGCTTCACAGATTGCCCTTTTTTACTCATCCCTGCCTGGAGGTTTTAGGGTTTAGGGAGAGACTGCCAAACACCAGGACTGACGGAGGTTGTGATCAGATCATCCCACCTTCTTGGACCCCAACACGGTTCATCTCCCATAACTGTTCTCCACTACAGCTTCACAGATTGCCTTTTTCACCCGTCTCGTTTGACCAAACTGGCTGGAGGTTTTAGGGTTTAGGAAGAGAGTGCTAGACACAAGGATTCGTGGAGGCTGTGAGCGGATCATCCAAACTCCTTGCAGTTAATCAATCAATCAATCAATCAGGGCTGTCAATAATCTCTTCATCAACCGGCTGATCAAATAATTAATCAGTAGCTGCGTCACTGGTAGACACAAGGCTTTGTGGAGGCTGTGAGCGGATCATCCAAACTCCTTGCAATTAATCAATCGATCAATCGATCAATCAATAAGGGCTGCCAATTAATCTCTCGTTCAACTGCCTGATCAAATAATTAATCAGTAGCTGCATCACCTCCCTCGTTTCACGTTTACAAAATGATCAGTCGATTGAACGACGAATTAATACATTGATTGATTGATTGATTGACTGATTGATTGATTGATTGATTGATTGATTGATCTATCGACCAATTAATCGATCAATTGATGGATGGGTGCATGGGTGGATGGATGGATGGATAGATGGATTGATTGATCAATTGATTGATCCAGTGATTGATCTATCGATCGCCTTTTCATGTATAACACTCAGAGAGGGAAAGGGGGGGGGGAGGGGAGGGAAGGAAGGCTGTCTCGGAGGGAAGGGGGAGGGATTGCACATAAGGAGGGGTTCAGAGGGTAAGGAAAAAACAATGAGCAGTCCATCGGGACATCCGTTAAAATTGGAACGATACAGAGAAGATTAGCATGGCCCCTGCGCAAGTATGACACGCATAAATCGAGAAATGGTCCAAATTATGGAAAAAAATATAAAAAATGCGCAAGTTGGGGTACCAAGGTCGGAATAAAAAGAAACACAAAAAAAACACGAAACAAGGGTGGGGAGGGGGGGGGAAACAGGGGTGGGGGAACAGAAAGTGAGGAGGAGAAGGCGGAGGCATCATCGGAGGAGTCGAAATCTCGGGGAAGGAGGTTCTGAAACAACGAGAGGTCGGGACGGGGAGGGAGGGGAGGGAAGGAGGTCGGGACAGGAAGCGAGCCGGTGAAGATCGCTGGACGAATGGAGGCCGGGACAGCAAATGAGATGTTTGATTGGTAAGTGCGAAGGAGGAGGTAGTGCTCTCTCTCTCTCTCTCTCTCTCTCTCTCTCTCTCTCTCTCTCTCTCTCTCTCTCTCTCTCTCTCTCTCTCTCT